TGTGCCTGGCCTCAATATACTTTTTGAATGATTACTAAAAATTCACTTTTATCCTAAATTTCCCTGCCTTTTATATGCATAAAATGTTAGGAGAAGAAAACCCCTAACACAAGAGGCCTGAGTTCCAATTCTACCCAGGCCAACGATTAGGCCACTGGGCCAGGCTTGGTAGCTCACGCCTGTAATCCCAGCACTATGAGCAGCCAAAGCATGAGGATCATTTGAAGCCAGGAGTTTGAGACCAGCCTTGGCAACATAGCAAGACCCTGTCTCTACAAAAAATAAGAAAAATTAGCCAAGAGCAGCAGTGGGTGCCTGCAGTCCCAGCTACTTGGGAGGCTGAGGCAAGAGGATCACTTGAGCGCACGAGTTCGAGGCTGCAGTGAGTTATGATCATGCCACTGCACTCCAGTCTGGATGACAAAGTGAGATACTGTCTCTGAAAATAACAATAATGATGATAATAATAACTAGACCACCAACCTGAAGTTGGTGATCTTGTCTCTTTAGTAAAAAGAGGTAAGTGTTAAGTAGGCTATTACTGATAGACCTCTTCTAGCTCCAAAATTCTACGGCCTCTCACATAAATGTGAAAATAGACAATTTATACGAGATTTCATGCCTCGATGTTTCCTCTGACTGAAATCTCCCATTTCCCCTTTCCCTCTTAAAGAGCTCTTGTTCCTCCTCCATTAAATATCACCCACTTCTTTAATGAAACCTTCCTGCAGCCTAGATAGAACAAATTGATCTATATACTTAGAGTCCCCATGGTTGCATTGTGTCTCTTACATATGACTATTTACATACTGTCTACCATCTCTGGAGTCTCACATCTTGCACAATGCCTGGCACATAGGAGGTGCCAAGGATATGTTTAAAGATTTGAGTCTATGAAGTTAAATTGGGTTCCTGTGACGTTTCCATACCTACCATCTGGGAGTTGAGCTTTATCTGCAGACACACAGAGGCCAATCTGCAGCACAACCAAAGCTTTCTCCCAGCCAGACCCACATATGGAGTACAAATTTATCCTGAGTATTTGTACAAAAGCTACACAAAGTTATCACTCCTGCAGATGATCTGGGCACACCCTACAGATTATTCTAATCTATCTCCACTCTCTACCCAAAACTTCTTTACCCTGCTCTACTTTGTTCCATGGCATTTATGACCTTCTAACCATACTACATAATTTACTGATGTTTAGTGTTTATGGATGTTTACCAGAACATAAGCACCACTAACAGAAATTTTTGTCTGCTTTGTCATAAATGATACCCAGTGTCTATATCATGACTAGCATAGTGAAATTTTTTTAATCAATAATTCTTTCCTTTCATCTTATAGCCCCTAAGAGTCATGAGTCATCGCCTTCAAAACCCTATCTTGCAATGCCCTTATTTCCTGGGCTCCATCCACTGATAAAAGGTTTCCCAGTAAGCCTCTAAGAACTGGAAGAAAATATTTGTATTTAACTCCTAAACTGTAACTGTTCCTTTCACTGCTCATCTCTTAGTACAGAACAGTACTCAGGAAGCTACACCAAATAAATAGATGAAATAACCAAAACTTTTTCTTTCACTTCCGATAATAATCATTTCTATGTGGTCTTCATTTGTGATTTTTAAAGTGCTGGTGGATGGACAAAAACCAAAACTAAAAATGTTGAAGTAACTTTTTCATATTGCCAAGCACATGGGCTAAATATATTGAGGATATATTAACTGCTACATGTGACCTGACCCAAATAGTGCAAACTCTCTAAGGTACTATATACATTACTTACAGCAAGATTTTCTTACGTAGCTCATGTCCTTTAAGAGAAACAAACTAATCCACCACATTTCTGGATCTATTAAATACTGAGCCATGTAAAAATAGGACACTATTGTATTTGTATTCAGACAATAGCACCAGAACCTCTTCCAACCCCTAGTTTCAGCCAAATATGGCTCTTCCCTGTTTCAGGCTCTTCAACCTGCTTCAATTTAGCTTACTAGTTCCAAAAGACACAAACCCATCAGCAGCAGTCGTGGACACATCTACATGGCTTTAAATTCTCAAAGAAAATCAAACATCAGCGATGTAAAATTACACCCAAGATGAGAGGCTTCAAGCTAAGAAGCTTCAAGCTGAGACGGCTGGATATGTTGATCAAAACTAAAATGGGAACAAAGACATTTGTAAAGTCACCTGGCTCTCTCATCTAGCACTATTTCAATCTGACAAACTCAGAATCAACTTCTAAGATGAGCCTAAGAAA